GACAGGTCCTGGCAGGGCCGTGGGAAGGTTCTGACAGGTCCTGGCAGGGCCGTGGGAAGGTTCTGGAAGGTCCTGGCAGGGCCGTGGGAAGGTTCTGGAAGGTCCTGGCAGGGCCATGAGCAGCACCCCCGGGTCCTGGCAGGGCCATAGAAAGGTTCTGGCAGGGCCAGGGGAAGGTTCTGGAAGGTCCTGGCAGGGTCACGGGGAGCTGGGACAGGTCCTGGCAGAGTCATGGAGAAGTCCCAGCAGGTCCTGGCAGGGTCACGAGCAGCACCCCCAGGTCCTGGCAGAGCCCTGGAAAGGTTCTGGCAGGTCCTGGCAGGACCATGGAGAAGTCCCAGCAGGTCCTGGCAGGGCCATGAGCAGGGCCAGGGCCATGAGCAGCGACCTCAGGTCCTGGCAGGACCATGGAGAAGTCCCAGCAGGTCCTGGCAGGGTCATGGGCATCACCCCCAGGTCCTGGCAGGGCCCTGGAAAGGTTCTGACAGATCCTGGCAGGGCCATGGAAAAGTCCCAGCAGGTCCTGGCAGGGTCACGGGCAGGGCCCCCAGGTCCTGGCAGAGCCAAGCAGGACCGGGGACAAGGACAGGGACAGGTCCTGGCAGGGCCACAGGAAGGTCCTGGCAGGTCCTGGCAGGGACAGGGGCAGAGCCAGGTCCTGGCAGGGACAGGGGCAGGGACAGGGACAGGTCCTGGCAGGGCCATAGGAAGGTCCTGGCAGGGACAGGGACAGGGACAGGGACAGGTCCTGACAGGGCCATGAGCAGCCCCCGCAGGTCCTGGCAGGGACAGGGACAGGGACAGGGGCAGAGCCAGGTCCTGGCAGGGCCACAGGAAGGTCCTGGCAGGGACAGGGGCAGGGACAGGTCCTGGCACGGCCATGAGCAGCCCCCGCAGGTCCTGGCAGGGACAGGGACAGGTCCTGGCAGGGCCACAGGAAGATCCTGGCAGGTCCTGGCAGGGACAGGGACAGGGACAGGGACAGGGACAGGGACAGGGGCAGGGACAGGGACAGGTCCTGGCAGGGCCATAGGAAGGTCCTGGCAGGGACAGGGACAGGGACAGGGACAGGGACAGGGACAGGTCCTGGCAGGGCCACAGGAAGGTCCTGGCAGGGACAGGGACAATCCATAAAGTGCCGAAGAGGCCGCGGGGGCTCGGCCGGGCCCGGGGGGGTCCCCAAAGCCCCCCCGGGGGTCCCCAAAACCCCCGGGTATTGCATTGATCCGACATTCCCCCTGCAAGGACCCCGCGGGGCTGGGGGGACCCCGGGGGGGTTTGGGGGGTCCCGGGGGGGTTTTGGGGACCCCCGGGGGGATTTGGGGGGGGTCCCGGGGGG